GTTTTATACAATCAGTAACAAAAGTTTGAATAATAAGCCCGAGAAAGCCACATCGCCTTTTTAATGGACACGGAAAATATAATTTGAAATACTCTTTATAGCTCCCATAATGTAGCCAAGTGGGCCAAAAAATGGTTGTCACCGTCTGGCGTAGTACATTAGCATGAAGAGTGTGAGGCAAGGAGGCTTTATCAGGAGGGCCTTTCCTGAGGGAGGGCCAAATAATGCGATATTGCTCGTTTGTGCGAGGCCCTATTTATCTATTAAAAAACGCGAGATTTACGGGCCAGTATAGGAAACTTTTCGAAGTTTTTATGTTGTTCCGCTGTTCTCGGAGCTAATATAAGAGATTGATGTGTGTTATTTTAGCTTTGTTTGGGTGTATATTAACTGGTTTATTTTGATGTTTAGTGATATTTTTATTGAAGTATTTTGTCAATAATCGTTATTCATTTTGATTATTTGTTTATTATTGGCTATCGTAACATAATCCTACGCATTGAGTTACTGTTAAGGTTTCGCTCTATGACCTAAATTCATTGCAAATTATGTATCCTCTGACAGATATCGCAAGATCCTCTTTTAAGTAATTTATTACGGATATTGGTTGGTATATAACTACAGTATCATCTTGTTCGGTCACGAGTCTTTCAGGCTAAATGAATAATAAATAAAATATTCAATAAACGGCGCTACCGCATTGGGCTAACGAGGTATTTGCACATATCTCGAGATAGCTAAGTTTGAGTGGCGTGTTATTTTAGGTCGGGTTTACACGGCAAGTCGTGACTCTCGGGACTGAGCTCCGATCTGACAACACGAGAGCTTGTGTAACACGTCTTTATGAAAGGCAAAATGGAGCTGTTTTTAATAAGGTGATATTTTGCATTCAATAAAAAGGGAATAAATCATTTCAAACTCAAATATTAAACATTTTCGTTGTACTAAAATGTTAGTTAGGAACAAAACTAACATAACAATATATCTTGATAAACAAACATGATAAAATGACCTATCCAACGAACTAATATATTATCTGACTATTGCAAACGATAGATAGTCAGTTGTAACCCTTTATCTCCCATATTATTATCTAACTGATATCTATGTAATTTATTACTTTACCATGCTTCATGAAGAGGAACCGTTGAGTTATCATGTATTTGATACATATAATTATATACATACATATACATATGTACGTATGAATACGTAGACGAGCTTTGTAATAGATAGACAGCGATAACCGCACCCCATATCTTATCATTTTGACCACGATATAAGTTGCCTTTTCGTATTTTTAAATATTTGTTGAAAGTGCAATGTTTCAAAGCAAACATTAAACTGTAAAAATATTCGATTTTTGCAATATCAATATCCTCATTTCTTGAAACTTTATTTGATATTGTTTAGATTATGTATTGACTGCAGAAGATTTGTTAAAACATAACCCCATAATACGTCGTAGCCCATCTATCCGCTACGAAGACAATGCAGAGTTGCATTGCGCGCTGTGGTATTGTGATCGAACTAAATAGGTACCTACTTGTAATTATAAAAATTGTACTGATTTCTGTATGATCAATAAACGTAACTTACTGATGAAGTGAATGAGGAGGTCCGGGGATTTTGCCCCAGTGAAGAAAATAAGCCTCATAGTGACTGTGTACGGTGCTTTTGTCTCAAAATCTAGTCAACACATTCAAATAATCATTATTTATACACACAAAAAACCTTTTAAATGTATGAAAATTTGTAATAAGCTTCTATTACCATGGCTCTGTTAAATCACAATCTAATGATCCTATACCTATCAAACACATACAAAATACAGCTAATAGAGTTCAAAATAGACCAGCAAATACTATAGTTGGTATGTATATGATGTATGTTTATTATCAACAGCGAATATTGGCTGGAAACACAGTGCTAAATTCGCGGCCGACATCCGATACTGTGGTATTATCTGCCATTATTTGTCATTGGGTGAACAATGCGAGCAGTAACATACCTATCGGTTATCTTACAGCAATTTGTCAACAATTATAATAATGGTGTGCGAAAAAGTTCATTATTTTGTAGTAAGTAATTAAGGAGTCGGGTTGATAATGTTTGAGATTTTAATAATATGAGACGTTGTGTGTGTGTCAAAAATATTGTGTTATTTATAACAATATTGAGTATTTAATATTAAACATTGTTTGGAAAGTTATATCACAAGACAAACCTAACATAATTTTGACAGATCCGCATTAGTATCTAGGAATGACTAAAGAAAACTATAAATATCAAACAATCAATGTGTCTTAAAACCAGTAAGTACTTCTTTATAAATTCTACATCAAAACAATCCTCCTTTATGGAACAAAAACTACAACTAAAATACTGCGGACACCCCTAAAACAAATCCACAAAATTCTAAACTTAAAAAAAAAACTTTACACCAAAAACGCTTAGTAAACGCAGTATAGTTTATATCAGCTGACAGATGTTACACTTAGCAAGAGCTACTGTATCCCGACGGGTACCTAATAAATAATAACAGTGTGAGTTAAGACCACCTAGCGAGGAAACTGAGCTTGTTTACGGCACTACCCTACCAGTATTGTGGCCACCTACGCTATACATTTTGCTTAGCAAATTACTCTCTTCGCTCAGGGTGTCTAATAACCCTTTAATGAAGGAAGAGCTGCGATGTTTAATGTTGTTTCTACTTTATTAGGGAGATTTTTGCTGTAGTTAATTGCTGGTTTGTAAGTTGAGTTGAGGGGGTAATTTTATCCTGTAAACAGCACCTACCGTTGTGTACGTCAGTGTGTTGTTGAAAATTTACAAAGAGTTTTAACGCCTACTTTGGCTGCACAGTTGGTGCACTGGGCAAGCGGCTACTATGCATCGAGGTGCTAACAAACATGGAACAATTTTTGACTAATCCACAAATTGTTCCCGGTCTTGATGTATGTATGTAAATGTCTTTGTAAAAATAAAAAATACCCACATCTATCTAGATAGTAGGTATATCTTTCTACATAATGAAAAGTATAGCTAACTATAGTATTACCTATATCGCGCTGTGTGTTCTCTAGAAATCCAATATATACAGCGTGACAAAAATTTTAAACTTGAAAATTCCTGTCATGACAGAATAACTTATTTCCAATACTGACAAAGTTATCGGTTTTTTTATTCAACCCGTATACACAGGCTTCCTGTATTACTTACTAGTTGAAGACAGTGCATCATAGTATAAGATGTGTTACCTGTAACAAAACAAATAGATTTATTACAAAACGGCAATGGTAAGAACACGTTACATAATTTATAATTTAATAGACACGCAAATGATCTAAGTCGCAAGTGCACCTAATAACATAGTAGGCCACTGATTACAAATCTTTCTTCATCTGCCAATCTAATATAAAACGCCCCTTTAATAATATAATAGAAGATAATTATCACATTTAAATAATCTGACGCAAATTAATTCCAGCTGGAGCACGCGACTCGACCACTCCATTCACAAAACTCAAGAACTGTCCATAATAGCTCATTTGAATACAATCCAGATAGTATAGACAACACTAGAACATTGTTATTATGTAGTTCTCTGAGTTCCAACGACCATACACACGAACACTCAATTATATAATTGCATTAGGACACTTAATTCTCCGCTATAGACATCTAATGGTTATGACAGTTAGAATGTGTGCTACGTCATTAACGACATTCTGTCGTGGACTTACGAAATGGGGTCAAGGAGAGCTAAAAACGGATTCATTCCATTATAATATAAGCAGTTAGTGAGTGAGTGTTTAAATAGAAAATATTAAGACTTTTCAAAAGGATTTTTGTTATTTTAACTGTGAATAACAATAACATTATACATTTATATTGTAGTAGGTATGTGAGCGTCACGCACACATAAAGTTCGAACTTTGGCACACTATCATAAATCAAGGGGCGTTATACGCCATGTTTCACGAGCCCCATCCTTCTCTTTCGCTCTGCAACCAATCTTTATGTCGCTGTCCCGTTCTAGCACGAAGCAGGAGCTTTGAGGGGTCTCGGGGAGGGGGCAGATGTCTAGTCGTGACGTATTACTCGGCTGGCGGTCGGTCGGGTCAGTCGTTACTTAGTTGGGATAAGTTTAATTACTTAATTTTGAGCTTTATACTGATTTAAATATGGACTAAATTAATATTATTGAAATAATTTCACTGCATTCTCAGATGGAGGAAACATCAACTAATGAAGTACCTGATAGGAATATCGATATCGACATGAGCGCTAATTACTTACAAACCACGCCACTCTATAATGTATGTCGAGTAGGTTCCAATGCAAATCGCAAGTTCGATTCTAGAATAGACAATGCGACCAGAAGTTTATAGGACCACCCACACATCTGCAATGCATGTGTTTGATATGTAGCACGATTCCAGTTTATTGGAAAAATATGAAAATAGAAATTTCTTCGTTAGAAATGCACTAGAGACGTTGAAAATAGTGTTGCTTTAGTTTTATGGGGACATTTTGAATGTTTGCATTTCTCTAAGTAAGTGAAGGATATAGTGGTATTTGATAGATTTAGTGCCAATAAGATTTATTATGGCTACGCATATTACCCATACATCACAGCAGATCTCTGCAATAGATTTCTGTTGTACAAGCTAATACGTGATCTGAATGCTAGTGATGCGCTTAAACAATAATTTTACGTTGTAACCTATCTGCACTATGTATAATTTATGATACATTTTCTATTGTTATTGAAATACATGGCCACTTATAAATTATTGTATTGTCAAAAATCTAATTATATTTCAATTAATCAACTATAGAAATAAAGCAACTAGATGAAAATATTTATAGTGTTAGATAGTATAGTTGCGTGGTACTTAAAAGCTTTTGCTGTGGTTTGTTTATACTTTTAATAAGGTAAATGTTCTGCGTCAGTTTCACACTTTACAGGATGACACTTCTCCTGCCGATCTTGTATGTCGGCTGCATTGCTATGTTCTTATTTGTATCGACTAATTCGTCGGCTGTTAAAAGTATCGCAGGCGTGTTGGACATCTCATTGGTCGGCAATAAATATGGCGTTATCTCTCGATATCGACCGCGGGCCGCACTTCGCTCCACGCGACCTACCCCCCCGCTCTAATGAATTACACAATGAACTCTCATCTAAATACAGAAAAAAGCTTTTAAAGGCACATATCAAAAATGCCCACAAAAGCCTACTAAGACAGGACTTACAGATTTATAGCACTCCCTTTGTTAAATCACGTAATCTCCACGTGGAGCCGCGATATAAATGGAGGTAAATGAAAATAAATGTAGTTCCTCATTCTACTGCTTGCCTATTTACATTGTGCCCAAACATAAATCAGGCTCTGTTTAATGGTAATCTATTTTAAAAATTACCTGTTAAATCACATCAGGACAGATAACACATTGTTTGGGGTATGTGGTTTAGAAAAAAATGTTTGTCGGCCGTCGCGGTTCGGATTTGTTGCCTTCAGGGTGGCATTTACATCATCGGTCCTCCCATATATTATGTGGTACACGACTTGGAATACATTGAACAGGTACCAAAATATTCATCTCGAATTTGAACCAACTCCAATAATTAAATGAGTGTTTGTTTGTATTTATTTAGTAAAAGCTTTATGTGCGTGTATGACAAATATTCAACCATCTTAAATCATAATGATATCGCTAGTGCGTGGGCGAGTATCGAATTTAAATGAATGATTATTTATCGGCCATGTTTCGGACATCGATACGTGGCGTCCGCACGATCGTGTCGGGTCGGGCCATAGGGCCATTTTCGGCAGTTTCCGGGTATCTATTCTGTAGCTAATTTATATGCGTGACGAGCCTTACAGCTAACTACGTTACAACAAAATGTATAAATTTTATAATAAATATGCACATTTATTTAAATTTTAGTAAATTAAACATTCTACATTTCATCTACAATGCAAAGTAATTAATAAAAATATTGAATCCATGAAAGTTCTGTGTACAGTAATCAATGGGACTATTTAAAATGAACAAGAAAAAAAAACAAAACAAAAAAAATAAAATAATTAGTGATGCGACTTCCCGTGGTCTCGACCTACGTCGTAAGTTTCGCCTACATACGCGCGAGGCGTCATGCTAACGCAATAAGAAATAAAAGGCGAATAAAAAGAACTGGCCCGGAGCGATATTTCACCGACAGATCTGGCCGAAAGATGCTGATGTTGGGAACTTGTGACAGCTAAGTGTTGGAATCTCTGCCATACTTGTGAAGATTTTACCGATTCGAATAATGCAATAAAAATAAAAAACTTAAAAATTTTAATGTTAAAACGAAACTGTTCCAATTTCTGTGAGCGAAAGTTTGTGGAGTGCTTTTAATGTCGAATTATTCTTGTATTATTCTTCACTGAGATATTTTATTTACTTATAACTAATTTAACGTCAACTTCTAAGTACCCGCAATAAGCGTATTGTATATTACTAGCGATATTGTATGTATCGTAAAGCATACAATAGTTGGCCCATTTATTCGGTTTATCGATACGTGATGTAGCAATTAGCACATCACTAGACAAAGCGCTCTCGGGTGCGAGCCTACAAATCATACCGATACCATCTTCTACAAATTTGAATCGGATCTTATTTATGATTTGCCTTTTTCACGGCTACGTTTTGGGGAAAACTCGAATATAAATCACTGATAAATGGTTATTGGGTTTCGTACCTAATTCGAACTTTGTTACCGCCTACCGTACTCCATAACACAAACATTCATATTTATAATTACCTGCCGTTGGTTTATATCTTATCAGAAAAAAAATAAACCAATTAGAACCGGAAGAAAATTTCCAAATATCAAATTTTCCCACGGTACCGTTTTCATTATTCGCAACAACATAATAATCATAACAAAAGCATGTACAAACACCGTACTTGGTTAAACAGCAATCGCATAAACAAACCCCAACAATAAAGCCAAATAAACGCTCGAGCACGCCATCCAATCGCACCTTGAATCGCACATAAAAGCCCATGAACACCGGTAGAATTGAATACAACGCTGCTCAACAGGAGCATCCAAATATTGCATTCCCAACCGTACTCGGTCGGGTAATATCGAGCACGAGAGTAGACTTCGTTAGTGCCCATAAAATCGTTTACGAGCTGCCGAAGAACCCTCTTCAATAAACGTGCCATAAAAGTTCGGTTATTCGACGCTAGATGGCGACACTAGTGGCCGCTTGAAACAGTTGCAACGATTTTACTGCCATCTATGGAGCTTTTTAAGCGTTTAAGGTCGGCGTGGGAAAGAGGCAGGCTATACGACCGTCTCTTTTCCACGGGACAATACTGAAGTTTGCCGGCTACGGAATGGGTCAAGCGTGAAGCGTTTTTTGTATTAAATTTTATATACGGTACGAAGTTCTATGGTTAGTTGGCGCGGGTAGCTTTTTAATGAAAATATAAATACTTGTATCTATATAAAATAAAAATTTTAAGGTTAATTTTACATGATTTATGGATATACAAAGAAATACCTACACGAATACAAAATATTTTCTTTAGATATGTTTAACCTAAAATTAATTCAGTTGTAAATGTAAATGAGTCGGTAACTAATTAAACATAAATGTCTAGTAACGACGACGTCACATTGTAGGTAAGCAACATCAGGTAAAGCTTTGCAGGTTTGAAATTCGAAAAGCGCGAACGCACTTCATTTGATGAACGGTTTCACGCGCATTACACCCGCGGGCCAGTGATAGGGTTGCCAGCGTTCATAAGAACTGTCATATTAACCTTTCTAAGCGATGTTAACGAAAACTTACATATCCTTGAAACAAGTGCAAATACACATTTAAAAAAGGGTTTTTCTTAAGCAATAATTAATTTAAATTTTGTTAGTTTTGATTTTTTTAAACTTTGGTACATGTGCTAAAATTTTCTATACTGCTACGTCATAAACGTTCAAGCTCTAATTTTCAAATTAGGTATAGCATGCCAGCCCTATTATTGACGTCGGTGGTCTCATTAGATGACGCCTTTATTGTGTTTTTTCTTTACATAAATTATAACTCAAGTGCAACGAAGCTTGGCATAGAATGCATGGTGTAGACTGCTAAACGTTCCTAAACTATGGGCTAGAACAAGGAGAAAATGAGGCTAAATCATAGCCATACTATACATACGTTTCTATATACGTAATATTAAGTGAAAGATAATTTCAGCTATCCAGTTCGTACGTGGCATTTCCCTTGTTAAAACTGATATTAGATAGAAAATTGTAGTCAGTTATTCTATTACAATTTTATTAGGAAATAAGGTAAAGGCTTGCTGTATACTTATACTTTGGCCTTAAGTGCTAGCAAATTATGGGGCTTTATTTTAGCTGGCAACACCTTCTATAGTTCGTGTTATAAATTTATAAGTAAGGTGCTTGAACTCGCCGTACTAAAAAAATTAAATACTTGAAGTATCGACGTGTCAATATTTTTTAATGTTTTTATAATTTGCTAAAATTTTTGTAACAAATTATTCATTTGCTATTTGTCAACTTTCAATATCAATATGAAAAGAAAAAGCATAATTTATACATGATCAAATATAAAGTTCTACAAAAATATTAATTTATAGTCGAAATTAATAAAATCACCAAAAAGCGATGTTCACAAAATAAATCTCAATAAAATTGATCTGATCTTAAATAACATCATCTTTGAGGGAGACCTCGAACAGGATGTGGTAGCGTTCGCAACAAAAACTTTTGTCTAAGACTAAATATATTCCTATAATAATGATAAATGAAAAAGAAAACATCAATTCGAAGTTAATAATGGGTAATATTATTAATTATAATAGGTAATATAATTAAAAAAATATATCAACTTAAGTATATGCTTGGAATGAGAGATAACCGAAGTAAAAAAAATAACCTTCAAGCACATGAAAGCTATAATTGTTTTTTTAACTTTGCAATTGGTAATATAGAGTACCCCAGTATTTTAAGCTCATATACAGTTACTTTGTCATTTCGGGTTTTTCACCAACTCGACACGAGGAACTGATCACACGTGTGTCCAGTTGGTGAAACTTTAAATTAGCACTAATTATTCTTTCGTCATTTGGACACGCCAAGGTTTTTATGTATGTCCACATAGTGAAAATTAAAATTAATTACTTTTATGTTATCGTCAACTGGACACACCTATAGTTTTTTTCTAAAAAAGGTACAGTTAAGTTAAAAATTGTTTCGGTTTTAAGACAAATTTTGAAATAAAACAAATGAGTAACAATCATATATTTATATTAGAGTTAGACTCAAAGACTGTAATAAAACAGGTTCCATGTTGAAGATTTGACAAGCATAGTACTCGTAACATGGTAATAGCGACTTTCAAACACTTTCGGTGTCAAAAATATATTTTTTACAAATTCACAAATGGTGAATAATTACAAAATTACCCGGTGAAATTACTAGGTGGGACGTTTAGAGGACAACGATGATTGTGATTAAAAAATATTATCTGCGTGACTGTACTTTGTTATACATTCGGGTAAAATGTGAACGTGTGTCCAGTTGACGAAAACACAAAAGTAACTTAATTTGATTTTCACTATGTGGACATACATAAAAACCTTGGCGTGTCCAAATGACGAAAGAATAATTAGTGCTAATTTAAAGTTTCACCAACTGGACACACGTGTGATCAGTTCCTCGTGTCGAGTTGGTGAAAAACCCGTCATTTCAAACCTTTAGAAATAAAAATTCTATACCTACTTACCTACGTGTCCCGTCATTTCAAAGACAGAATAATATTCAACAGTAACGGTGTATCACGACCATAAGACATGATTGGTAGAGGAAAAAAATCACAGAAAGCTTTACTTATAAACATTTTATTAGATAAGTGAATAATAATTGGAGTAAGAAAATCACAATTGATTGACATTAATTGATTATTTATATACATAAACCGTTTATTGGCACTGTTAGAGGCGTTGATGGCAATATAAATCGACACTTACTCCTTCAATCTAAACTATAAATAATAAAACACATTTATAAAATGTCAATAACAGATTTATTACAAAATATAAATGACAATAACAATAATAAAATAAATTATAATTATTGATCAATAATTTCTATTGAAAATAAAATATTACGTAATAATAGTAAATTTTATAGACCAAAAGACGAATGGTGATTGTGGCAATGGTTAGTATTGACATATGTCAATTTATTTGTGAATTATTGAATTAATTTTATCCTTATTTATGCGGACGGTACTTTTGA